TAAATCAAACTTTTTGACACATAGTAGCCTATACTCTCTCTGATAGCAGTTCAATCAAATTGAAAACAATTATGACACGAAACAAGAGGCTTATAAACTTAAAAGTATGTGTATACTTTCTTCTTTGAGGTGAAGTCTGTTATGAGACAATCAGTTGTCAGGTGAACAAATAATGTATAGTAAGCTATGAGCTAACTTAGTTATTGTTTTCTTTGTATTAATAATTGAAAATATTTCATTTACAACTTATGTATTAATTTAAAACTAAACATTTAATCATTTTGTTATTTCTAATCATTATGTTATTTATAATGATTTATTTGGCATTTACCAGCAGGCCCAATTCCAGAATCAAAACACTGAGGATGCTTCTGAAATTAGTGAGGGTGCTCTAGCCTTAAAGGTGACATATCATGAAAATCTGACTTTTCCAGGTTTTAAGTGCTATAATCAGGTCCAAGGTGCATCTACCAACCAAGGAAACATGTAAAAGATTAACCCAGTAACTTTGTTTTGGTAAGCCTTTCTCTGCAAGCGTCTGAGAAAACGAGTGCGTCCGATTTCGCTCCCTTGGTGACGTGGCAAAGGGATCTCATTATAATATTACCACCCCTTAATCTGTAAGTTTCCACCCACGGCGCCATCATTTTGATTCCGCAAGCGACAACGGTGTACCAGCTCTAATGCCATGGTGAAAGTTTGAGCAAAACATACTAACTGTTTTGCCTTTGGCTGCACAGACGAGCACAGAACACTATTTAGAGTCCCAGCCTCAGAGGAGACAAGAGAGCAGTGGATTTATTGATTAATTTACTGTAGATTGCTGCTGCCACACAGTTCTAAAATAAACATGCAATTTATTTCCCAGCTGTTTACTTTCACAGACATAATCGACTGTTTTTGTAACTCGTGTGTGTGTTTTTAACGTAAACTTGTGTGTGAATGAGAACTTAATTTAGTACTCACATGCTGAGACAGCCGCTCTCTGTTTGTGTGCTCTCAGAAAACCATATATCAGAAGTTTAAACTCATATGGTTTAAAACACATGATTTCAGCACGATAAACATGATAATCAGAACCAAAACAGATGTTTTTAGCAGGTCCCGGCTGTAATGGAAAAGGGGGCGGGGAGCAGCAGCTCATTTGCATTTAAAGAGACAGGCCCGAAAAACAGCTGGTTTCTGCTTCCACTCAAAATAGGCATTTTCAAAATGATATAATAAATGATCTGTGGAGTATTTTGAGCTGAAACTTCACAGACACATTCTGGGGACACCAGAAACTTATATTACATATTGTAAAAAAAGGAGCATAATATGTCTCCTTTAAAGGATTAGTTCACTTCTGAATTAAAATTTCCTCATAATTTTCTCAGCCCCATGTCATCCAAGATGTTCATGTCTTTCTTTCTTCAGTCGAAAAGAAATTAAGGTTTTTGAGGAAAACATTCCAGGGATTTTCTCTATATAGTGGACTTCAGTGGGATTCACTGGGTGGAAGGTCCAAATTGCAGCTTCAGTGCAGCTTCAAAGTGTTCTACACGATCCCAGACGAGGAAGAAAGGTCTTATCTAGTGAAACATCATTTTCAAAAAAAACAAAAAAATTATAATATAGGAATACTTTTTAACGTCAAATGCTCGTCTTGTCTAATTCTGCATGAACTCTGTGCATTCCGGTTCATGACAGTTAGGGTATAATCGAAAAACTCCCATCTCCTTTTCTCCTCCAACTTCAAAATCGTCCTACATCGCTGTTTTACCATTTTTTGTAACGGGCGTTTGACCTTCTTTGCACGTTCACTTTGTAAACACTAGGTTGGTACTTCTGCAGCGATGTTGGACGATTTTGAAGTTGGAGGAGAAAATGAGATGGGAATTTTTCGACCTACCCTAACTGTTTCAAATGGGACTGCACAGAGTACGCATGCGCATTGCAGAGCTACACATGACAAGCGTTTGAGGTTAAAAAGTATATAATTTGTATTCTTTTTTTAGAAAATTACCGATCGTTTCGCTAGATAAGACCCCTTATTCCTCGTCTGGGATCGTGTAGAACGCTTTGAAGCTGCACTGAAGCTGGAATTTGGACCTTTCACCCAGTGAATCCCACTGAAGTCCACTATATAGAGAAAAACCCTGGAATGTTTTCCTCAAAAACCTTAATTTCTTTTCGACTGAAGAAAGAAAGACATGAACATCTTGGATGACATGGGGGTGAGTAAATTATGAGGACATTTTAATTCAGAAGTGAACTAATCCTTTAATGCATATCTAGTTTGACATATATTTTTGTCCCGTCTATTGCAATATTGAGAGTGAATGCATTTATATGCGGATGTCATTCCCAAAACTTTGCAGCATGTATGTGGCCTTTGGTTCTCTTGGCAGCATGAAAAACAAGGCATATATTAAAATTATGAATGGATTATATATAGCCTATAAAGTGTTCAAAGAGGGCTCCCTTTATAATCACTAAAAGCTGTCACTCACTTCAGTTCATTGCAATCTTACGAAGTTCCGTTATAAGCAATAAGCCTCTCTGCAATGCAAACTGAATCTTTTCTTTACATACTGTAGTGTCTACACTTTCTTTATTACAATGAGAGGATTTGTGAGCACACAGAACTCAGCAATAAACATACACTACATAAACTACGGCATTTCAAGTGGTAAGTGGATTCTAACTTAAACACCTCTGATTGGCCATTACGTTTAAGAAATATACCTATATCAGATGGGGCTCCCTGAGTCCCTGGAGTCCTAAGCAGTCACTTACCTCGCTTATTGGTTAAGTACACCCCTGGCAATGGCTTCACTATTTACAACGTTATGAGCAATCCAGTTCTCTATTATAGATAAATGGTTTCAAGACATTTCAGTGGGAATTACTGACCCCAAACTCTTAAAATGTTATGTAAATGTAGGGATCCATGCAAGTGTATATTTAAATTTTTTTTAAATAAAATTTACCAAAATATTGTTACATGGTTTTACTTGTAATAGTGACACAATAACCCAAAAAGGGGCTTAGGTTTATAATGTGTGATTAAAAATCCAGATTAAACTTACCGGAGGGGTCCCTCCAGCCCTGCTGCATCCCCTCTCTTCCTGTAGTTCTCCTCCTCTTGGAAGGACCATGCCTATCTTCTGCCCCCTCACCACCATGTCCAGCACCGAACATGGTCACCTGAGAGAGAGGGCTGTAATGATTCTCCTGGATTCCAGAGGTCTCAATGTGTGCATGCTCATTCTGGGAACTGGCATTACCATCCGGCATTGCAGCAGGCTGTAAGTGCACAAAAACATAAAGTGAACAAAATGCGGGACATAAATTGTCACACAAATTTTAATTAGATTTTGTCAAATTTTAGACCTTAACAGTGTCCAGCTGTTCCAATGAGTCACAAAAGATTTCACTTTCTGAATCACTAGTCGGCCCCTGAACCTCAGACACAGGTGCCTCTACACACATATTTGGCGATGAAAAAGAGAAGAAATATAGTGCAAACAATCTTGCTATCATTTATTACTTATGCAACTGTGAAATGTTTAAAAAACACATTTGGTCAGACATGTCTGGATGGTGATCATAACTGGTGCATTTCAGCCACAGTAGGTTCCAATATAATTCAAAGACAAAAAACAAATGTAAATTATCGGAGTAACATTGCAAGTATTTGTTTGTACAAGCTTAAAACCCAAATTTTCCTTTGTAAAAATGTGTTTTGGTGGGCTGCAAAATATTCAGGATCCCTCATTTATAGATAATCATTTCACTACCTGTGCTCTCAGCTTTAAGTTCACTTTCAGGGACCATCCCTGAGTCCTTCAGTTGAAGAGCTGGTTCTTGAGTTGCCCGCTCCACTTCATGATCAGCCCAACCATCTTTGGCATTTATATCTTTAAAATGCACACCAAAATCACAGATTTATCACATAGAACTCATAGTATTTTACCAAAATAAATAAATGCACACCTGATCTGAGAGATAAAAGTGCCTCTGGAGGTCTGGGCATATCATGAATGACATGATAGAGAGGTTCAAAATAGTGGAAAAATGATGCAGTCTTCTCATTGATTTGCATGGTGTCTATGACCTGTAAATAATATATGACAACAAATTAATTTATATGGAAAAAAATAATTTGCTTGGCCGCTCTGAATACAAATTTGTTTTAAAGAATATTTTCCAATATATTTTTCCCTAAAGTTGTTTTATGAATTTATTTGGTATTATTGAAGCTCTCCCACCTCTTGTGCAACTTTCTTCATTTCATCCACATAAGCAGCCATGGCATTCTCCCGACTCATGTCTCCAAGCTGGTTCCAAGCATCCCTGACACAAGACCAGTAAAACATGCCATGAAGTTAAAACAGTCCTTTAAATGTTCTGAGGGCTCTGAAAAACAGCGCTTGAACTTTAGTTAGGCACATTATAGCACTGAATATGCTCTTTATAACTGGATAAAAGCTTTACCATTTGTAACGGCCTACAGGGTCCCAAAATCCGGGGCGTGACACTGTACATGGGCCACAGACTGCCTGTTTGTATAGACCATAAAACCGCAGCATCACTTCATAAGAGGGTCTGTAGGAACCTATGCAAATGCAATTTAAAATTTACTCCAGGTATCATGAGCTGCTGTAAATTATGCAAATACGTGTGAAGAAATGCTTGCAATGACAAGCTGTGCAAATTTTATATCTGCTACAATAAGATGGTGTTATACAGAACAGTGATTATGTCATTCAGCGATAATGTAATTTTTGTCAATGCTGAGCAAAGCTACCATTTTTGGGTAGGCTTTGAATGACGTCGACAGCTGCCTGAAAGCGTCTTTGACAGTCCTCGATCTCTGACATTGTAAGAGCTGGCATATCATATGGCGTCTATTTTTCCCACGCTCCTGCAGCCGAATGTTCATTAACTGGAAAACCTGTGAATTATATTCACTGGTGACAAATGTGTCATTCTGTCATTTAGAAATCAAGTATCGGAAGAAAGAGTGCTCTCTGATTACTTGTACCCCCAAAGTCCCCGCCCCCCACACACTTACTTAATCATTATAATTATTATCATTAGCCTTCCAGGAATCATTAGATTTTATGTCCTCTCTGATTTCAGGTTATTAGCCAGTGGGTCAAGCAGAGTAAGCGAGGTTCAACTCACCTGCCCTGTACTCAGGCTGCCATTACATGTTACAATTATATTGTAACTGTGAATAAAACAATATCCGCTTGTTAAGTCTGACGTAACGTGTCACCGCTTCCGTGTCCAAACGCTCTATCAGATACCACGAGAAAACAACAAAAGGTGCTAATATACATTCACAATGTGATATAATACTACAAAAAAAATTATAATCCTACCCTTTAACTCCATACCGAAATCCCAGATAGCCAGACAATGAAAATATAAATATAAATAAATAAATATAAAAATAATTTGTGTTTGGGACGCTGTGAACATTAAGACTGTAGTGTAGACCGTAAGTTTTAAAACGTTTAGCTTAAATGTTTAATATGAATAAACAGTGCTCATAAACGGCTGCTGAGGTAGTATTCTCAAGTGATGCAAGTAGAGGCTTGGACCCGGAGGCTTCTTACGTCACCACTTAACAACCGACCGATCACATTTTATCAAAGCGGTGCACCTTGTATAATCAGTGAGTTCGAGAACGGTCTACTAAAAAAAAAAAGGGGGGATCTTTCACCTCTTGGAATTTCGGCCAGGAGTTCACTTCCTGGTTCAATCACGTGATGGAGTATTACGACGATGATTGGTCTTCTTCTTCTTCTTGAAATTTTATTGGCGGTTAACAAACAACAAAAATAGTGTATTTCCGCCACCAACTGGTATGGAGTGTGGATCAAAATGCTCCCTTCTTTTTTTATATTCTCTCCCACAATTTAGTTATTTTAAGGTACTGACAAATAAAATTATAGCATTCATTCCTCGAGTTATTTTGTAAAATATATCTCGGTATAAATTGCATTTTAATTTTTTCTAAATTTCTAACAGTACAGTATAACATGTTCCACTGTTTCTTCTTGTCCACAAAATTCACACCTTCCCATAGCATGTTTGCCCATTTTATAAAGTGTACTATTTAATCTTGTGTGTCCAAATCTCATCCTTGGTATTACTATCTCATCTCTCCTGTTTTTCCCTGCACTTCTCATCTCTCCCACTTTCCTTTGAATTCTTAAAACCATCAACCTTTTCCCTCCTTATCTCATTGTTTTTGCCACCTTTCCTTCAGTCTTTTCTTAATAATACTCTTGATTTAATTCTTACTTAGATTAATAATTAAAGATGCAATAGGTGATTGCCTTCAGAAACATTTTTTGTTATGCTGGTTGAAAGTGTCATCACATCCCGATAGCAATCATTAAGTTAAAGGGGTCATATGATGCGATTTCAAGTTTTCCTTTCTCTTTGGAGTGTTACAAGCTGTTCGTGAATAGATAAGATCCCTAAAGTTGCAAAGACTAAAGTCTCAAACCCAAAGAGATATTCTTTATAAAAGTTAAGACTGGGCCACGCCCTCCTAAAACGTCTTGTTCAAACACGCCCCCACATGTCTACGTCATGATGTGGGAAGATTTGCATAACACCGCCCAAATGTATACGCAAAGAAAGGCGTAACTTTATTGTTGCTGCCACCGCTGCCACCATGTTGTGAAGACGCTGTGTGTTTCGATGTGAAAGCAAAAATACTTTGTTTGGCCTTCTAAAAGAGGACACGACTAGAAATCAGTGGTTAAGTTGTATTTACAACACTGTTCCAGAACAGTTCAACCCAAATATTCAGATGTGTGCAGCGCATTTTATGGAGGACTGTTTCCTGGGAGAGTAGACTACAATGCCGGCTGTTCTTCCTCACAGTCTGTAAGTACGTATTCATATTTAAAGAATTTGCCACTGATGATTCAAACACAAGTTTTAAGCAGTGTAGAGTAGCGCTTGCTGCATCACAGTATGGTTAGGGGCATAACATTTCTGTCACTCGCTTGAGGTATTCGGCCAATCACAACCCACTGGATAGCTGGCCAATCAGAGCACACCTTGCTTTTCAGACCGATGAGCTTTGTAAAAATCAACGCGTTTCAGAAAGGCTGGGCATAGAGGAGAAACAATAATGTACAGTATGTGGAAAATAATGTGTTTTTTTAACCTTAAACCACAAACACATTTCATTACACCAAATAATGTTCTTTTTAGCAACATCATATGACCCCTTTAAGTGGTCTAAATGTATTTATCTGTATTTATATATTCTGTGGAAGGTGTAGGACCAAGAAATGTTCGTCCAATCAAAACGCTCGATCCGAGTGTTATAATTGGCTTTCCTACCTGCCTGTCAAGTTATGTATTAGCATACCTCTACGCACCCGGTTCGCACCATAGACTGTAAAAAAAGATGGACGACGCACCTTCACTCTCTTTCATTGAGGAAAAGTGAAGCCGCCAGTGGCCCTATTGGCCCATATTGAGCTTATTTGGGACCAGTCTGCACAGTAGTGAACTCGGGACCCGAGTCTGCGCAGTAGTGAGAGAAGTGGCGCCGCGTCATGCCCAATGGTCCCGTCCACACTCCAGCAGAGACGATTGCAAGCACACGCCCCTGGGACCATTTTTTAATTACCCTGACTGCTCCAATTTTTGTCTGCCGTGCAAGAGGCTTGTTAAAATAAGGTAAATACAACAACTAACCGCATAGTTGTACTTAAAAAGTAACACATATTAATGTATATTGTAAAATATTAGTAACTTAATTTTTCATTTTATTACAATTAAACAACTATCACAATTTTTTGGACAGCTAAATCAGTGTCATCCTTCACTCAAGCAGTCCATTTTAGCTAGGTTAGCATCCTAACATTTATGGTTAACACATACATTCAATATGTTAGCAACTTATTAATGCAACACACCTCTGCTTTTGTCATATAGAAGAAATAGCCTATATTTGAATGAGTAAGTCATTGTTTGATTTTTGTTATTCTCGCTTCAGACATAAAAATGACATCAACATTTTTCACATCCTTCTCATCATTATCCACAGAGGAAAAGAGTAAGTTAAAAAAATCAAGTCTAAAAATCAAATCTTATATTTTTATTTCACCATAAGATTTTTAATTTGAGATTGATCTAAACAAACCAAAGTTTAAATTCAGTTAAATTCATTATACCAGGGGTACTCAATAAGCTATAATTACAAAATGTAATTGTAATGACAGATTATTTTTATGATGTGAATCTACTACATGAACATCCATTCTTATTTGTCCTGCTCTGTGATGTGTTTTATACTAAACTTGCAGGCTTACCTTAACAAGACATGATTTCAGGGACGTTTCATAATTTGATGTTGATTATGTCTGTTCCAAATTGTCACATTTGAAGAAAATTAAATTGATAAAACTGATAATTGATAAAATATGGAAAAATTAAATTTTAATTAAATGTTACATTTAATAATACACCAGAACAAGACTTTTTTTTTTGAAAGGTGATGTTGCTTTCTTTTTGCTTTACAATCAACAGAACCCAAAATATACATTGTATTAAAGGCTCCTGTAAGAGGGACCTTTATTATGAAACTGGAGTCGTAATAGTACTTCGGTAGAGGGCAGTGTAGTTTGATGAGCTGCCGCTGTTTGCTGTGTTTGAGTGATCTGTCCGAGCCGTCAGCTGCAAGGATGATACTTTCACTTTGTTCGTGGATTTTTTTTGCAGATTTAATATCAAGGTGGTAGTCACCGACCACAAAGTAAGCCTATTTTATTTATATTTGTGTTTACAGTGATCGCTACAGTGTTATATGCGTTTGTACCATATGAACATGCCCAGACATGTCCTGTAACGATCGTTCTGTAGTATTCAGATCGGGAATATTACTTAAATTCCCTTAAATTATCAAGATGTAAATCAGTGTTATAATGTCTTAATGACGTGATGTTGTTCTGTTAAGCTGCTACAATACCAAACGAGTGATTAGCGTTCTGTTTATGCAAATGTTACTCATCCGTTCCACGATCAGATCCTAACAGGCCAACT